GTTTTAAATTTACCTTGTTTTGCTTTTTTTCCTCTTCTGTGTGGATGGTTGGGAACACTGTATGAGAGATGCATCATTCTAGGAGGCCTGACAGTAAATTATGGACCTTAGTCATGGCTTTACAATATAGGAGGATGTGTAAAGGATGAAAAAAAACTATTAAAATATCCCAGGAATAAACACCGTTCCATCCTTCTGGACCAGGTGGTGCATTTCAATTCTCCATTTCCATTTTTGGACAGTCTCTTTTAAATGTACTGCAAATATATATCATTTTTATATAAAAGTGCCATGAAGAATACATACTATTCTTTAGCCTTAGATAACCTTGCTGTGTTATAAATCATCCATTTTGATTGCTGTTAACTATGGAATTTTTTTCTTAATTTGGTTTGTAATATTCTGACCTTGCATTAAAGAAACTTGAAAAAAGAATCTGCTTTGTTTGCAGTTATTTTAGCATAGTGCTTCTGAGCTGTATTTTATGCCTTATACTCCTGTGGTATAGCTAATTCCATTTTCAACAGTAATTTCTCTCTGTCTTGTTTCATAGTTGGTAGGGTCGGAAGGGACCTGAGGAGATCATCTAGTCCGGCCCCCTGCCGTGGCAGGAAAGAGTACTGGGGTCAAACAACCCTGGCCAGATGTTCGTCCAGCCTTTTTTTAAAGACCCCCCAGGGTAGGAGCCAGCACCACTTCTTTTGGAAGTTGGTTCCAGGTCCTAGCCTCCCTGACAGTGAAATAGTGCTTCCTAATGTCTAGCCTGAAACTACCCTCTGCTAGCTTGTGTCCGTTGTTTCTTGTAACTCCCGGGAGTGCTCGGGGGAAACTGGGACTCTCCCAATGCCTGCTGGTCCCCCTTGCCTAGTTTGTAGACTGCCACTAGATCCCCTCTCAGCCTTCTCTTTTGGAGGCTGGATAGGGTCAGGTCCCTCAGCCTCTCCTCATAGGGCCTGCCCTGCTGACCCCTGATCATGCGGGTGGCCCTCCTTTTGACCCTCTCCATATTGGCCACATCCCTCCTCAAGGGCTGCCCCAGAACTGGACACAGTACTCCAGCTGCGGCCTGACCAGTGTTGCATAGAGGGGGCGGATCACCTCCTTGGACCTGCTTGAGATGCATCTGTGGATGCACGACAAGGGATGGTTGTCCTTCTTGACTGCATCCCCACACTGGCGGCCCATGTTCATTGTAGCATCAATGATGACTCCAAGATCCTTTTCTGTCTCAACACTGGCGAGAAGGGAGTTCCCCAGCCTGTAGGTGTGCCGCTGGTTCTTCCTCCCCAGGTGCATTACCCTGCACTTGTCAGTGTTGATTGAACCCCATCCTGTTCTCTTCGGCCCACCCCTGTAACCTGTCTAGATCCACTTGCAGCCTGTTCCTTCCTACTAGGGTACCCACTTCACCCCACATCTTGGTTTCATCTGTGAACTTGAACAAGGTGCTTTCTACCCCCTTGCCCATGTCACTGATGAAGATGTTGAATAGTGCAGGCCTTAGGACTAAGCCCTGGGGAGCCCCACTGCCCACATCCTTCCAGGGTGAATAAGACCCGTCCACCACCACCCTTTCAGTGCAGCCCTCCAGCCAGTTAGTGACCCATCTGACCATGTAGGCATCAACACCACTGTCTCCTAGTTTCTTACTGAGAATGG